TTTCCTTTTCTATGTTAATTTGGGGAGGGGAGGGGGATATTTCTAAATACTTAACAAACATGGAAAAAAGATTTCCTTCACACGGTTGCTGTTACTTTCCCCAGCTATAAGAATAGTTCAGTGTCTACTTACCTAGATGTCATAATATGATTCTGAAAACCTGCTCTGTGTTTTCTGCAGGTGAACATTAAATTAAGCACCCATAACAGGGTTGGGGTGTTTTTTTAAAAAAAAAAACACTTCATGCTGAAAAAAACACTTCACGCTGGGTTTTTTTATACGTTTGTGGCAGTTATGTGAAGTATGTTCTTAAATTTGCATGGTGCTTTTACTGACTATACTGTTTTCTTAAAGGTATGACTCAAATTCTGGTGGTGAGAGAGAGATCCAGCGTACAATGCTGGAGCTTCTGAACCAGCTGGATGGGTTTGACTCTCGGGGGGATGTTAAAGTTATCATGGCTACGAACAGAATAGAAACACTGGACCCAGCTTTAATTAGGCCAGGTAAGAGACTTCCTGCTGCATGTGCTTAAGTCACTTTTCTTGTAAAAGGACTTGTCATAACTTGTCAAACAGAGGCTGCTGAAAAGAATACAAGTTACTGCTTTGTCTTTGTTCACCATCTCATCTATGTTGGTGTATCTATTAAATCGGAACCTGTTCACAAGTTTACAAATGGGAGAAAAACCTCTGGAAGAGAAAAAGTTAATTTCTCTTACATAAATAATTTTAATATTCGTCCTTTGTATTAAGATGGAACAGCTGTTTTAAGGCAAGCTGTAGTGCAGCAGCAGCATTTCATTAACATCTCCAGCATCTGGGGAAGGCAGGGCAGTACCACTCCTGCTTCAGACATGACCTTAAGCCTTAACAAAGAGAGCCTGGTTTGGGTGCAAGGAAGCCAGTCTGCTTCCTTACTGACCTGGCACACTGCTGTTGTCTGGGGGATGAGGGAGGGAGGGAGAAATAATATCTTCTGTTGAGCCAAGGCACAAGTAGTATTTTTACTGGCCACTAAAAAGGTACCGAGACATAATATGTGTCTGTGAGAGCAGAAGGTAGAAAGCAACACAGAGATCAAAGGAATAAGCTGAGCCTCCCGTTAGTGTCCTCAGGTAAATCCTAAGTATTGAAGAGGTTGTAAAGATATTCCTTCTAAATAGAGGTGAGAGAGAGAGCAAAGATAGTCTAAGATGAAATTATCAGAGAATTACTCTGAACAGTCACTAGACTGCATGGATCCAAGGAGTTTAGGAAAAAACACTCCACAGTATGAAGTTGTTGAGGTGTGGGTTTTTTTCAGAAAAATCTGTTTTTGTCACCATCTTAGCCTCGCCCCCTCCAAATACAAAACAGTGCTGTTAGAGCACAGTGGAGATACTACTATAACAATAGTAAAAGACAAGCTAAGATGACCTGAAATTGGTTGGAAGGAAACTTCCCAAACCTATCAGGTATCTAAATCACAATTGTTGCTTGAGCAACCAGGGCAGTTCTAGCAGCTTGGCAGACTGATTCACCATTGTGTTTGGCAGTCTGGAATATTGTATGTGGATACTGTAAAACTGAAGAAAACCAGGAGTGATCTGGAGATGGGAGTATCTTTTTAGATTGCTTACTGAAGTTGGAACAATGAGTACCAGAACTTCCAAAGTCCCTACTGACATAAAGGAAATATCTGGTAGGAACTTGCAACAGAACTACTTATGCAAAACATTCCTTCTTCAGTTTGGGGGTTTTTGGGGTGGTTGTTTAGGAGGTTGATTATATCGGTAAGAAGAGTTCTTTGAGTTGTCACAGTGGTTACTTTGTGTGTATGCAACAGAAAATTAAATTTCAGAGCTAAATAATCTTCAGAGTAGAACAAAATATATCACAAAAATATAAATATTTGATTAATGCTTTTCTGTCTTATGACAGATTGGGTTTTTTGTATTTATATGTGACTCAATTAAGGCTTTTCATGTTTCCTGGGTGAGGTGTCTCTTTACCTGCAGTGACACAGACTTTTTCAGCACCAGTAGCTTCTTGTTCATTGCAAAGTCTGATCCCACTTTCTACTGAGACATGACAGATAGTGGTGTGAAGAAACAGTTACTGTCAGCCTAACCTTGAAATGTTCTTTCTGCTGTTTCCAGTAGCTGCATGCAGAAAACCTAAGCCTGCACTTTTTTTTTCCACGCAGGACGTATTGACAGGAAAATAGAGTTCCCTCTACCTGATGAAAAGACCAAGAAACGAATCTTTCAGATTCACACAAGTAGGATGACACTGGCAGATGATGTGACTTTGGATGAGCTGATTATGGCAAAAGATGATCTCAGTGGTGCAGATATTAAGGTCAGTGCATGTCACCACTGTTTATACTTCAAAACACAAATCTCACTTGTACTGCATCCAAATATGTTGTCTGTTGAAACTGTTCTCTAATTATCTGTGGTTACATCACTGAAGAACAGGTGCATGGCTTTAAAACACCTTTCATGAGTGCCACATACACAGCTTTACAAACAGGAGATTTATCAAAATCGTGATTAATGTAGCTTGTGGTGATAACAGCATGTATCTGTTACATTCAGGTAACATTTTAAAAGCAGCAAAGTGGAAATTAGAAGGAGAATGCAGAAACTTGCAGAAACACGCAAAACACCTTAAACATTACTTAAGACAGTGCAGGGTAAGAAGCATTTTTAGGGACTGTTTGAAGAAGATAAAATGCACCTGTAGATTAGGAAGCTTCAGACATAGGCAGTTGGCTTTCCTAACACCAGTGGAGCCACCACACTGATGAACTTAACCAAATGACATTACCACCTCACTGCAGAAGGGTGACACAGTCAGTCTGCTGTTACCAGAGCCACGCAATACTGTTGTTGTGAAGCTGCCTCTGTTGTGGAAGTGTTACTCTGGAGGATGTACTCATCTAGCTTTATCCAGATTGTTTTACATGCTTCAGTGCTACTGAACAGTATCAAACCTGAGAATGTAAATTTTGTTAACACTTCACTTCTGCAAAGTCAGTTGGAGCAATACAAGGATGCTGCTGTCTTCTGAGGTGGGGCTTGAAGGGCTTGCACAGAGACAGCACCTTACTCTTTCTTTCTCTGTTGCAGGCGATTTGTACAGAAGCTGGATTGATGGCTTTGAGGGAACGGCGAATGAAAGTAACAAATGAGGACTTCAAAAAGTCTAAAGAGAACGTTCTCTATAAAAAGCAGGAGGGAACCCCTGAGGGACTGTATCTTTAAGTCATTGGAGACTATCAGGAACTCTTTCTGACAGTCCTGTGTAAACCACAGAGTGTAGCTGATATTTGTTCTTGAAAGGGTTAAATCCTGATGGGTTGTGGTTTTTCAGTCAGTGTAACACTTCATTTCCCAATAAAACATTGATTTGAAGTGAACTGTTTCTGCTGCTTTGCTGAAGCTGTTCAAGAGAAAGTGCCTGTGCCCTGGGGGTGCTGGTCAGGGTGAGCCAAAGCACTGTGCTGGGAGCAGTGTGTGAGCAGCCTCCCGCCTCAGTCCCTCTTGGGCTTGGCATTCTTACAACTACTGTGTGACTGCTGCTGTTCTTTAATTACTCTCCTGTAGCTTTTTAGGGGCTAAGTAACTAGGACAAGAGTCACTTTTGAGAACACTGAGGTTACTAAGTCATAGGTACATTAAGATTAATGAAAAATGTTTTAGAAGTGTACTTATCTCTGTCTAGCACTTGTGCTTACAAGAAGACAAGTTAGACACACATTAGTATTCTTAAAGATCTGAACATATCTGGGTAAGGTACTTGTAACACTGAAGAGTTTATCATTCTGTCTGTGACTCAGAGAATGTCTTTAAAAGGAGCCAAGCCCAGCAGGGTTCCAGAGCCCCATGCTGCCAGGGCAAGATGTACAGGGCCAGCCCAGGTGCAGGAGCTGCACCATTCATCAGGCTGCAGAGGGCCAGAGAGAACTTCAAACTGCCAGCCAGATGCTTGGTGCCCTGCAGCCTCATCTTGAATTCCTCCCTTTAAACAGACCTATTGCCTGCAGCTCCACCCCTGTAGGAGTTAAATTTCTATTTTGCTAAGTTGTAGTGATGCACATACTGCTTATTCAGTATTCTGTGTTGTGTTCTTTTGTGAAGTGCTTGCTAAGTAATTCATTTCCAAGTGTTGTACATGTGATTTTTAAGGTTTTTTTTTAGAAAAAGTTCCATATACAGTTAAGCAATGCACAGTCTTTGTTCTGGAAACTTTCTGTTGGAGCAAATGCTGGCCCCCAACAGACAATGGAGAGTAATACACAGAGCAATCCCTTTGACAGCTGCCAGTGCTGTAACAACAATGGTAGCAGCAAGGCCAAGAGATATTGTTTTTCTATGCAGAAATTATGTGGTTCATTGTTAAAAACAAATGCTACAGCTGAATGGAGTCTTATTTAATCTTGATGCCAGGAACCCTAGAAGAGAGTTGTTTTTCATCTAGAGATTAAAAAAAAAAGCAAAGTTTTATTAGCCATTCTTATAAACCTTACTAGATCTGTCTCCTTAGAAAGGTCACAAAAAGCCAGAGATCTTTTAGCACTTTCTAATCATGGCAGTTGATCTCATCATTGCTTGAGGGGCTGAAAAGCTTTATGACATGGGTGGTGAGCAAGGCTCTTTTATTTGGGACATGGCTGTTAATGCTGGCTACAAGCAATAGCCACAACAAGGTCGGTTCAACTGACTGAAGGAAAACTACACTGTATTAAGCTAAACCATGAACTGGGTTCTGGCCACAACAGTAACTGAAAAAGAAACATATTTGAAAATAAAGTTCTTACCTTTTGCAGCAGAATTTAACTTCTGCTACTTTCTCCAACATTCCTGAACTTGATTCACAAAGATCAAGACAAAAGTAATAAAAATCAGGAGAAAGCAAACAGTGAGTATATTCCCCATAAGGACAGAAAAAGCTACTGGAGTCTGAATTAAATGACAGGACTTGCTCCAGTAAGTGAGCAGCCTCTGACCACCCCAAGCAAGTAGCATGAGTGCTGCACTGGGAGAAGCTGCAGCAGGGGAGGGATGCATGGAAGAGAAAAGTGACTGAAAGAAGAGTCATTGCTGCCATCACAGGAGGTTTTCAAGATGCTAGATAATCTCACCTAGGCTCCCTATGCCACAAAAGGTTGGACCAGATAATCTTTCAAGGTCCATACCAACCCAGGCTGCTCTGTGATTCTATGACTGAAGAAAAACACAACCAGGAGCACAATCAAGCTTCTTCCCTCTCCATGTCCCTTTCAGGTCTTTAGAAGAAGCAACATTCTGCTTTGATGGAGAGCAAACACACACACACCCCATTTGTGATGTTGCTGTTCCGACCTCCAGTTCAGCAGCTCTGTAATTTCTGAAAGAAACATGGATTTTAAAAATACGTGTTTTCTTACAAAGACTAATCAATTACTTGTATAGCAAAACCAGCATCACTTGCAACCACAGCAATATTATAAGGCTCTTAAGAAATGCTGTAATGCCTTTTAAAAATCTACATATTCCCTGTAATATTTAAAATAATTTCAGAAAGGAATAAATGAAGCTCAGCCTAAACTAAAATGTATTAGATCTTGTATTATGGTGCTACAGGCAAAACCAAGCCCTAGGTTGTATGGGTTTGTCCAGCCATCATTTTCCATGAAACCAGATCTCACCACCTGGATGATCCTGAGTGGTTTAGTGCTGTTAGTGAGTTTTCTCCTGAAAAACCTCTGGAACAGTTTTGGGTATTCAGTAGCTGCAGGTACCTTCTTTTCACATGAAGATCCAGTTTCTGAGTACTTGGGTCTCAAGAGTAGGGATGCTGAACAGTCTTTTACATATTTCAGCTTATTGTGTCTTACAAGATAAATATATAGTGTATCTTTAAATTGTTACCATATTTCATATTACTTCCCTAGGAGCTTGCCTAAAGACTCTAGGAATAGAAGCTACTAATTAAACAATCATGTTTTAACTATGCTGCCTTCTTTGGTGAGACTTAAATATAGACCAGGCCTCTATTTCTCTTACAGTGATTGCCTGTATTTGGGTCAAAAGCAAGTAATCAGTTACAAAAACTTGTTTAAAAGTGAGCTGCGTAGAGATGCATTATGGATACATTTTCATTTTTAATACACTCACAGTTCTATTAAATTAAGAAATAAAAAAATAATTAAAGTTCCTTTTGAATTTTCAAATATTCAGGTATATTTTTCATAAATATTTTTACTAAAATGGTCACCTGTCAAAACATATAAACACACATCCAAAATAAGTGCCTGCTCAAGCAAAGATTCAGCCTTTTCTCAGAGTGTATGTACAGATGTAAGGGCTGTTTGACTTGGTAGTTATATATACACACACACGCATACCAAGCTGAAGGAAATTACTGAAGTCTGCCAACTGGAGGACAGCGGAGCATCTATTTGCCAGATGTTTATTTCCTGTGCTGCTCACCAAACCATAGTTGGCATGTACTGAATCTCTACTGAACTCTAGGGAATGTAATTTCAAACAATAGAATAAGAAATGTGGACAACATTCAACAGGAGGCTATTTATAAGAGGGTATCCTGTGGGAGCCAGCAATACTTCAGAGAAATGAATGCATTTTTGTGGACAAAATGCAGCACTTGATTCCAGAATACTTGCAGCGAGAACTCCATTTTGATAGCAACTTATATAAAAGCTTAAACAAAACAAAAAAGCCCCCAACAAAACAAAAAACCCAACCCTTAAAAAAAATGTACATTGAGTTCCTGTTTGAAGAGACAGGTCTAACTGTTAGTTCTGGATCTAGCTTCTGTATTTGCTCCACTCATCTAGAGTCTTTACACCTCCAACAGTAGATCCAGCTCTTCCATGGGTACCCGCACTCTCAATTCTTTTTCAGTTATTAGATCAAGTGTCTCTTGAAGATCATCAGGGAAGTACTCTATTGCATCCATATAGAGTACCTAGAAAGACAATGAGAACATTTTCTGTGCCATCCTTCTATCATAGCAAGAAACATAGTATAAAGAAGTACGTAGATATGTAAACAACTCTGTAGCAAGAACATAAGAAAATCATATATTTCTTTAAAATAATGCAAACAGAATTAGTACTTCTACAGTGACAGCAATGCAGATGTTTAACCAAGTCTTTTCCAACTCCTACTAAATTATTTGATTCAAAAAAGATAAAACACAGGTCAAGAGGCACCGGAGCATTTGCAGCATATACAGACAGTACCTGAGGAGCTGCAGGTGCTCCTGAATAATTTTTTATACTATTAACTAAATACATTTTTATTTGCCTGTATATTTCTGCTACTCCCATACTCATGATAAAACATGGTCTGAAAGACACAATCGCTTCTAGATCAGAGAGAGGAATTTATTGTCTCCTTCCCTCATGCAATACAACACCTTTCTGTTCTGAAACACAAACATCACTGACCATTATGTTTGTTTCCATTACAGATGCATCTCTTATTTGCAGAAAATCTTACAGTACTTTCCTTCAGAAACCTTTAATTTACATGTAATTCATTACAACAACAACTAAAGTCTAACCTTTTTTTTTCAAATACAGAACTTCAAAAATTAGAATACTATGACAGGTTTATAATGTTTCTGTGCTTACCTTTGCCCAAGGACAGTTTTGAAGGGCTTTATAAAACAATCCTTTACTTTTTTCTTTTTTTCCTAGTGAAGCCTGTGTGAGAAAAAAAGTGTTCATGCAGTAACAGCTGGAACAGTAACACACCTCTGAGACAAAGAAATTACTGCGGAAAAGCTCAGTGGTGTTCTGCTGAGGAATCCTTATTACTATATATTGTGGTAGCTATGCAATTTGACAGGTTGCACTGGTTACACTCTTCAGTGTAACCGAAGAGATGTCTTGGAGGAGTTTCAGAGTTTTATTTGTAAGACAAGTAATAGAACAAACACTAACAAAGATCCTCTGCTGAGTATTTCAGTTAAAGTCAGTGCCTTTGCCTATATTTAACAATACTGCAATGGACAAGAGAGCAAATCATTAACGAGAACTTACCCCCAATATGCTACACATATACTACACAAGAACATGTCTGGTACAGTCAAGGTGATAATACACTGGGTTTGTGCACTGAAGAGATCATGCACATACATTTTCTTATTCAGCAGAAGCTTGTTACAGCTGAATCTCCTTATGTACAAAACTGGATAAATCAAACTGGCATCTATCTAAGGAGGAGTTAAAACTTCTTCCTCAAAGTACCCGTTCAGCTGTGTGATACAAGTAGAGAGCTCACAGCTATTATGAAGTTTAAAAAGACATGGGTAGCAGAGGTCAGAGTGCTGAACACTCTTCTTAGCTTCAGTCATTCCAGTTACAGGCAGAAATAATTACAAATTCTTGTGAAGAAATCTTTTGAATTGGGGTACTTTAAAACATACTTAAACCAGGGAATTTTATGGCAAATCCAAAAGAAAAAAGCAGTAATTCCAAAATACATTAAATGTTTTGAGATCTTTGGAGAAGAAATCTTCAATCATGAGTTTATGTTTTCCCTTGTTCTGACTACATCAGCACTGCTGATGAAAATCAGCAGGTTTCCTTGTCAATTCTTAAATCTAGAAATTCTTTTGCATATTATTAATACATTGGTTTAGAAACTTGTGATGTTCTGGTGTAATGATCTCTTTACTGAACAGCAATGTATTTCACCTACTGGAAATGAGTGCTGTCAGAGCTGTGCATAGGCATCTTTTGGAGCGCTGCAAAGAGCTGGCAGTAGCATTGTGCCTCCAAACTTTTCTCAGAGTTACAGAGGTTGAAAGGAACCTCAGGAGACCATCTGCTCCAACCCTCTGGTCAAGGCAGGGTCAGCAAAAGCAGACTGCTCAGAACCATGTCCAACTGAGTTTTGAATATCTCCACAGATGGAGAGTCCATAACCTCTGGACAACCTGTTCCAGTGTTTCATCACCCTCACAGTAAAAAAGTATTTTCTTATGTTTATACTGAATTTTATCTATTTCAATTTGTGGTCACTGCCACTTTTCCTGTCACTAGGCAGCACTGAGAAGTCTGACACTGTCTTCACACCCTCACATGAGGTATTTATATACACTGACAGTATCTTCCAGGAGCCTTCACTTCTCTGGACTGAACAATCACCAGTTTCCCAGCCTCCCCCTGTACCCCACCTGCTCCAACCCCTTACTAATTTCCATGGCTCTTGGCCATTCAAAGGAACCTGGACAGACCAACAGCTGAATATCGTGCATCAGCCACTCTTGATTTTGTATCATCTGCAAGCTTGTGGATAGTACGCTCTCTCATCTTCCAGATCATTAATGAAGATGTGAAAGGACACTGGTCCCAGTATCAATCCCTGGGGTACAGCACCAGTGGCTGGCCTGCAGCAGTCAGCACTGCTGATCACCCCTGAGCCTGGCAGTTCAGGCAGACTGCAGTCCACCTCACTGGCTGCTTGCTTGCCTAATCCATGCTTCATCAGCTTGTCTATGAAGATGTTACGGGAGGCAGTGGAAGAGGTTCACTAAGGTTGGGATAAACTATATCCACTGCTGTGCCCTCATCCACTGAGCTAGTCATCTCATTGTAGAAGGCTACCAGATTGGTCAAACAGGATTTCATAAAAAATAAACAGGAATATAAGAGAAACAGTTCATTTCAAAATCTATATAAAAATTTTGTGTTTTTAAACAGTGAGAAGCTTTTGCCCCAAAATAGCAGAGACCGAATATCTAAACACACCCAAAGAGAAAACAGAGAGATCTACAGAGCTTTGGGTAATACTGGGCAATCACAACTACTTCTTCTATGACTGTATCTGAAAATTTTAATGTTTCTATTTGATTTTGCTTCTCTGAACAGTTTTATCCTAAGCTATTACTGTAAAAGTATTATTTTCCTCCATCATCTTAGCACATAATATTCCTTCTTGTTCTTGTGAAAAAGATTATCTTCCATGAACTAATCATTAGCAATAAAATACACACTGGGCAATTTTACTTTAGCTTAGTGGAGTCTCATTAGTAGTTTGTAAAGAGTAACAGTGATTCAATTCTACCTTCCTATACACAAAGTTGTATAAAATATTTACAAGCATGTATTTGTGTAGAAATGGTCACAGTAATGGAAAGATCTTCTCAAACACAAAACAAGAGTCTCTCCTTCCCCAGCCTCCTCTGTATTTCGCAGCCTACTAACTGCTGTTCCCATCTGACAATTTACTACACCAGAGGGTGTGAACAGAGGAGTAATACTGTGGAATGAAATTTCCCTTACATGAGTTCCAAGCATTTCTTTTGTGTTTTCATCTTCCATATTGTACTTTGGAGAAGCAAGAAAAGAACCAAGATAACAAAACTGCCTATGTGAAGTTGATTTTATCTATGTATTTCCATGGCGAACTATAGAAGAAACAAACATTACTGCTTTTTGGTGTTATGCTGCAATGCCAGTTAATGTAGCCTTTATATGCTGCTTTTAAGATTCAAAAAAAATGTGAAAATTCAATGCAAGTTATAAAAGCTATAGCTGTGTTTTCCTACCATGTATTTATTTTTCATGTGGACTGCACCTTGCTTCTCTAATGTTGATCAATCAAAATACCTTGGTCTGAAAGTTTTTATAGTATGGAGAAAATAGAGATAAGAGGGGCCCACATAAAACAGTCTTCTTGCCATGTTCTTTATTCCTGCATAAGTCAAAGCCATACAGATGTTCATGCATTATTTTTTCTAATTCAGATCTGGAAGTTGTTCCAAAGATGAAGTTAGAAAAGCTAAAGACTGATGACAATTGAACCAGGCAGGGGATGTTGAAGACAACAAAAAGGGCTCCTGTAAGTACATAGGTAACAAAACAAAGGGTAGGGAAAATGTGGGCCCACTGCTGAATGAGACAGGAGACCTGGTTAGAGAGGACATGGAAAAGGCTGATGTAGGAAGGCCGCCTTTGCCTCAGTTTTTAGTAGCAAGCATGGCCTTCAGGAATTCCAGGTCCCAGAGACCAGGGGGGAAAGTGTGGAGCAAGGAAGATGTACCCTTAGTTGAAGAGGATCAGGTTAGGGAATACTTAAGCAAACTGGACATGCGTAAGTCCACAGGCCCTGATGGGGTGCACTCACAGGTGCTGAGGAAGCTGGAAAATGTCACTCTTGGCAATCTTTGATCACAGCAACTGGGAGAAGTGCCCAAAGACTGAAGAAAGTCAAACGTCACTCCTATCTTCAAGAAGGAGGACCCAGGGAACTACAGGCCTCAGCCTCACCTTGATCCTTAGAAAGGTGATGAAGCAGCTAATCCTGGAAACCATTTCCAGGCACATGAACAAAAAGAAAATAATCAGAAGTAGTCAGCATGAATTCACTGAAAGTCACATTTGACCAGCTTGATAAACTGCTGTGATGAAATGACTGGCCTGGTTGATAAGGGGAGAGCACTGTCTGTCTGGGACTTCAATAAGGCCTTTGACACTGTCTCTCCTAAGATCCTCTTAGGCAAGCAGTTGATTTAAGAACTGGATGTGCAGTGAGATGGATTGAAAACTACTTCAACATCCGGGCCCAGAGGGTAGTGAGCAGTGGAACAAAGTCTAGTTGGAGGGCAGTAACTAGCAGTGTGCCCCTGGGGGCAATACTGGGTCCAATTCCATTTGATCCATCAGCCAGATCATGAGTATACCCTCAGCAAGCTTGCAGATGACACAAAACTGAGAGAAGTGGTTGCTACACCTGAGGGTCATGCTGCCATCCAGAGGGACCACAATAGCCTGAAGAATGCAGCTGACAGGAACCTCATCCAGTTCAACAAGGAGAAGTGCAAGGTCCTGCACCTGGGGAGGAACAACCCCATGCACCAATATATGCTGGGGGCCACCCAGCTGAAAAGCAGCTTGGAAGAAAAGGACCTGGAGGTCCTGGGGAACACCAAGTTGAACAGCAGCCAGCAATGTGCCCTTGCAGCAAAAGGGCTGACGGTATCCTGGGCTATATTAGGCAAAGTATTGCCAGCAGGTGCAGGGAGGTGATCCTTCCCCTCTACTCGGCACTGGTGAGGCCACACATAAAGTGCTGTGCCCAGCTGTTGGCTTCCCAGTAAAAGACAGACATGCATGTACTGGAGAAAGTCCAACGAAGGGCCACTAAGATGACTAAGGGACTAGGGCATCTCTTCCATGAGGAGAGGCTGAGGGCACAGGGACTGTTTAGCCTTGAAAAGGCTCCGGGGGGATCTTATCGATGTGCATAAATACCTAAAGGGAGGATGTAAAGAAGCGGGAGCCAGGCTCTTTTCATTGGTGCCCAGTGACAGGGCCAAAGGCAACAGACACAAACCGAAACACAGGAGTCTCCAACTGAACATCAGGAAACACTTTTTTGCTGTGAGAGTGACTAAGCACTGGCACAGGTTGCCCAGAGAGGTTGTGGAGTCGTCATCCTTGGAGATATTCAAAAACTATCCAGACATTGTCATGAACAACTGGCTCTAGGTGGCCCTGCTTGAACAGTGGAGTTGGACAAGATGATCTCCAGAGGTCCCTTCTACTCTCAACCATTCTGTGAAGTTATACAAAATCGGGATCTAGATTTGACTGAAATATCAAAGTCCTTATAATTTCCTTATAGAAGCCTAAAGTCAGTCTAACACATAAATACAAGTCATCTTTGCTGATTTTACTTATATAAAAATAATAAAATGCTAAGTCCCTAAAATTTCCTTCCTCTTTTCTCTAGATTTTGTTATCCTGCCCACTTCCCTTTATATTGTGAGTAAGACTGGGTGGAATCCATCTCCTGACATCTTATGACACATTTTTTATCTGCAACAATAACTTGCCTGCATCTACATTAAAACCACACTGCCAGAAGCTAATACTCCTTCTAGTCCATTGTGAACTACATTTTCCTTACTATTCCCAGCAATAAGGAACATTACAATTCAAATATATAACCTTACAATCATATAGGTATGGCAGCATTTACTATTAGTTTTTTTATACAGTACTGTAGCTGTGCTCATGAGAAATTCCAAATATAGTAAAAAAACCCAAACCAAAGCAAACAACAACAACAACAAAACACTGATACTCTTCTACTTACCATAAAGTTCAAATACATTCTCCACAGCAGAGGACAATGGGTACCGTTTTCACTCTGAACTGCATGTTCAAAGAGAGCTACAATCCTGTTTGTTAATCCAGTTTCAGGAATAGTAGAATGTATTTCACCAACATCTGCCCTGAAAGACAGAGGGAAAAAGAAATCACAATCCCTTAAATCCAAGCTAAAGGACCACATCCAGGTAAGAGAGGGTAAAGATCAACATACTGCCTCTGTTCACATAACACTGTATATAGCCAGGTTTTTGCATCTCAAGCTACAGACTCTGAAGGTTATAAACCTTTTTAGCATTTCATAATCTAATCAACAAATTTCTAAATGGGAAAAATCAGTTCAAAAAAAGATAAACGAGGTGTTTTTCTGAGAATTCTTTTAGCATGTTGAAAAATTAACCCTGTCCAACCAGAGGAGATAATTTCTCTTTGAGTAATCCACTACCATATGATCTCAAAACACTTATCTTAAGTCTTTATTCAAGATCATTTATCATTCCAAGCTTGGTATAGAAGCTCAAACCAAACTCAAGTCTCAGTCAGCAAGCCTTCTGTTTCAAATTTACCCCGTCACCTTTTTAAGACCATACATTGGTCCTGGATCAAGGCCCTGATTATGGCTCTGGATCTCAACCATGATTGGGTGAAAAAGAAAATTTTTATTGTAGAGATTCAAATGCCAAAATTCCAAGCATAACTCAAAAGCAGGTACATATTTTTCACTGAAGCACTGATCTCTATCTACATCTTATACAGACTGGCTTATTTTTGATGCTTAATCTTGAAGAAACAGCCTGAAGCACTTATGGCAACATCACTTCTGTCTGTGTGCCCTCTCTTAGCCTGCCACCCTTAACACTTGTTCCTAACTTGCCTCCCTTTTCACGGCTCTTTGAGGTCATGTTTTCTCTCCTTAACCTTTGCCATGAGGGAAAATGATGTAATCTACTCTGCGCTGAGTCAGACATCTAAGCATTGTACCTCACAGTGACTGATTTACCCTTTGTGTTCCCTTCTTTTAATTAATTCCATGCCCTTAAACAGATGAAATACAAAGCAGTATAGGAAATAGTCACATATAGTACAGACATTTTCTTAGTTTGTCACAACATCATAAAACCTTAGTTTTATGCATGACTGACAGACCATTTATCTCTCTGTTACAGTAGTTCAGCTCTGCTCTTGCAACACCTAACTTGTCCCTATACAAATATAACCTATAGGAAAGGCTATGCTAGCAGAGTACAATCAGGAAAGGAATGAAGTGTCACAGAAAAATCATCATTCTGGAATTTTAACATCAGTTTCCAGTAACAATGAAAACCTATCATAGCGTCAGTCTGTAATTAACAGTAAATCAAATTACAATCCTCCTTCACATTTGGTTGCTGTAGAATTCTTATTACAATTTAGGATGACATATACTGACAGCTCAGGAACATCATTATCATGGATGCATGCTTGTTGCCAGACTGTGGCAATCAAAGCAGTGGGCACACCGTCATTTTAAAGTATACTGATAATTCTGTAATTTCATCAAGTGTGAATGTTGTAAACTTACAGCTAAGTAAAGCTTCCAAATAACATTTTCCTAGAGATCTCTGTTACTATTTGCAGACACAAAGAACCAAGCTGCCAATGTTATTAGAGATACAGAAGTAGCAGTGGATAGGTAGCTCCAAGCAACAGGTAGACAACAGTTAGAGACTAAGCTTTAAAAATTAACACACACGTCTGTTCCCTACATCTTCTACCCCTTCCTCCTTCCCTTGGAGCAAAAAAACTGAGCCCAGACCACACTGCAAATTCAGGAAATTTTCAGCCTCTTCTACCTAGCAACAGCCTCATATGAAAACTAAACTCTCAAGCACTCACTATGGAAACAGATCTGCCACAACTGTATTCTGTAATCCAGGAGTAAAGTAGGGCAGCGAGCTCAGTCAGAAGCTGCAGTGTAGCTCTGTATTATGCTCCTTACTGTTGCAGCATTAAAATGGAGCATTTTTCTATGCTCAGTGTCTACCTTGGCCATTTAAGCAGGCTCTGTAATTTAAAAATCATGTAAAGAAACATGTACCGTCTTAGCGTCAGTAGTGTGTAGTCAAACACAAAGCAACACACGATCTGATCCAGTAGAAGGGATGTGAGACTATCACCTAGGTCTTTAACTCTTTTCAGGATTCTGCCACTGACTCACTGCTCGGTCTTGAACAAATAACCTCCCCCAGCTACAGCTTCTTCAGCTGCAAAATGAGAACTCCAATACCATATTCTCCGTTAAGTGATTACACAGATCAAAAAAAGCATAATCATAAGGAGCTGCAAGATATTACCTCTGGACATTCTCAGTGAGTTTTTTTCTCATCTGCTCTGCTTGGATTGCAAACAGCCATGGCTCTAAAGCGTTAGTAGACCTTGTGACACCATCAAAAAACCTTCGTGCTTTACTAGCACTGTGTGACTTCCTTTGGATGTGGATATATGACCTCCAAAGAGACTGGTTGCTAGGATACCGTTTCAGAGCCTCCATTAGTTCTTCTCGCAGAGGATTCAAAGGATAAACACTAATTTTCATGTGGAATTTGAGTAAATTTGTATGCAGCAGTGTGACAGCTTCAAGAGCAGTGGGAAAATTTTGAACGCCGAAATTCTCTCTAGTATTTTCACATTTCTGTGAACCAGAAGCTTCAAGTTTTTCTGAAGTCTGTTTATATATTAATACTGCAGCATCAATCCCAACAGTCAAATACTGGAACAGTGCATAACAACCAACCAAGTTAACTAGCTGATTAGCATCACTGACCTGATCCTGATCAGAAACCAAAGTTTTACTTAAATAATCTTGCAGCGCATGCTCATATGTTTTACGAGCTTTCAAGACATTCACAGACAACACTTGTCCACTATAGGGCACATACGGTCCACTTTCAGCCAATCTGGTCAATATATGAGCAGCTCGTGACATGACAGCTCCTTCTATACTTTCTAGTAGTTCCACTTCCAGCTGAGCATAAAGCAGACTGAGGCTGCAGAGCTGGGGACTTTTCAATCCTTCAGTCCCCACTGTGCAAAGAGCTGTGTCAAATACCTTCCTGGCATCATCAATGTTACCAAGCAGCCATTCTAGGTAGGCATACAGTTTCCAGAGAGAAAGGTCATTTCGATTGTCAGGTGCTTTAAGGAGATTCTTGGCCAACTTTTTACTCTTCCTCCCTTGTGCTTTCAGCTTCCTTTTGTTTTTTGCTTGGAGACACTGAACTACCTGCAGGGGATAATAAACAGAACAAATTTTGAGAGGGGTGGGAGAAGAAAGGTAAAAAAAGTCCAACCAACCTCACAGCATTTTTTACTTTCATCACTGTGTTTGTTTTCATATTGTACCATATTTCACCACCAGCCAGATATGTTGCTACTATGTACTGCAAGTTGTCACAACCTCCTGTTGTCAGCTCCCTCCAACACAGCCAAATTACATAGACTTATCATTCTTACTCCTGCCACTGCCATTAAGTAATATCAAATATCACTCTTACAAGGCCAACTGCTCAAATAAAGAGCTGGTAACCTGTAATGGCAGAGGAAAGGAAAATAAATGATCCTGTCTGGCCAGATGCAGTTTATGACCAGTACAATTAAACCTCCAAGGAGCTTTTCACAGTGGGGAATTTGCTGACAGACAAATCTGGAGACTGGATGAGAAGATTACGGGACATGATCTGGTCAGGTAAGAGACAGGGAACTTCTCCATAAGGATCCACAATACTGAACTTTCTGAAGCATTAGGAAGACAACCTGAACTCTCACCCTTCTGTGGGCATCTATTAGAGCAGTTTTACTTAAATAAAGCCATTCAAGTGATAAGGTGTCACCTCCTACACTACAAATGTAACTTGTACAAGAAGTAGTGTTTCTTGATAATGTGCTCTTATCACGGTATTGAGAACTACGCACTTAGAATAGTTGGGTAAAAGTACTTGTCTGACTCACTTTGCCCTGTTAAAAATCACTTGCATCCATTCCTGTCTAGCATACAATGTATCATGTAACATTTATCCAAAACTGCAACAATTATTTGTTACATGTGTCACTGTGTAACCTGTACTGAAGAAACGTGATTGTTTGTTTGTTTGGTTTTTTTTTACCTCAGTGCAATCCTACCTGGCATCTTCTGATTTAACTACTTAGTCCTACAAGAGTTAATTTTCTTTAATATTAATTTTAATTCAATATAAACATTAATACACAAGAAAGCCACAATCACAAATGTGATTGTACGCAGACTCCTCATTACCTTAGATATTTCATACTGTAACCAGCAAATGGACAGGTTAGATTTTTCCTTTCCTGAAAACAGCAGGAATAGAACATGAAACACATTCTGTATGAACTCTTCTCCTTCTTTATAGTGGCCTATGTGATGTCTCCCTCGTAGCATCGTGTCCATATGACCAATACTGTTGAATCCAGAAAGTGGAAAATCAACAGAAGTCAATGGCTTTTCATCAGAAAGCACACTGTTAAAGATGTTATTTTCATCCATGGCAATATAGAGGTTGGAAGGGAAGAGTTTACTTGTGCATGGAATTCCCAGGAATTGCAAGAATGAGTACACCAGTTGATGTTGAAGATCTGGATTAGTAAGATGGATTAAAGATGGTCCAAGATCATCAAATAATACCTAAAAAAAAATCCAAATTAAACCAAACTCCATTAATTTATGCATTAAAATAAAATTACAGGCAAACCTGTCACTTATGTAATTAAAGAACCTTTTAAAGTCAATAAAAATTTATAATTACTATTAAATAGTAACAGAATGTCATTCAAATTAAAAACAGGCAAGCTAAACAAGCAATGTGTTCCTTCAGTCAGATTGTAAATTTGCTATCAAGAGATTTCTTTGCCCTTGAGTAACAAAGGCCTCCACAGAAAACTTATGCAATGAATATCTGAAAGATATTATTGGTTGGGCCATTTAACACATTTTTATTTGAAAAATCAATGTCTGAGTTAACCTATGTCCCAAGAAGAAAAAAAAATAAATCCAACTATCTGACTTGAAGGCAACAAAACCTTTGTTTATTTAATGTATGTATCTTCTTAAACACAGATTTCTGTGTCATTTCCATATGCAGATAATAGAAATCACAGAACAGCAAAGATATACTATTTACGTACAGCCCTTTCCAAAGTTTACCGTGAGCTCCCCATGGATTTCAGTATCTCAGCATGAAACCAGGTAAATTTTGAATTCCAAACAAAGAAGAGAATTTTTTCCAAATGAAGAAAAGTATTATTCCTCTAAAATACCCATGAATTCAAATGAAAGGATAACTTGTCTTATTATCTCCCCTCTTTTTATTATATCACAGTGACCTGTCTTTCTGGATCTTCACAATCTTCTTCAGTTTCCTCTTTTGTTTTGTCTGGCCTCCAAGGTAACCACTGCCTTGCTTCACGAGAATACTCAATATCCAACCAAATATGCCACTTGGGCAGAGTTTTATCCTTTATATCTTGATCTTCATCTATCTCTTCATCATCATCATCATCATCTAAAACCAAATCAAGACACACACACACAAAACTATTAAAGAAAAATTAATCCACCAAATCCAAAGGGCAGACCTGACATACAGTTTAACTACTGTTAAAATGTAAACAAATACTGTATTAATAAAGCAGGCACAGGAGCTGAAAACTTCCACATCACAGTTCTCGGTTTTGACACTACATACAATTACCATATTTTCCTTTGACAGAAATATATTCTGTGCTGAAACTGATGAGCACCTGTAGGCTAAAGGAAAGCTCGTAGAGATTTTTACAAATATTTTTTTCTTTGTTGAGGAAGAAAGCAGTCCTCGAAATTCATGGTTACCTGCACTATTTTTTTTTGGATACAAAAATCAGGCCACTTCTACACCACCTCCAAATTCTTAATCCTGATGTTTATCATTAACTAGGTGTAATACTCCCACTCCCAGTTCTTAAATTTCCACAGACAGGTGGTGGCAAGATTTTCACTTGTGACCTACAGCCTCTTCTTTAGTCTGCAATCATTTCCATGATCTAACCAAAGTTTTAAAAAAGTTGACAGTGTTAGAGGTTACACTCAATTTTAAGACTGCACCTGAACTTTTGGGCTTTACATACATGGGGAAAAGCACTGATATATGCTGGACGGACCTGCCCAAGAATGGCAGTGGTCGTCATCTCTATAGTGAGTCTTCTCAATTTGTGGGCAAAATGCCTACAGCCATCAGCAGTGGAACTGCTGACCCCAGTTAAGGGGCAAGGAAATTCCATCTTAATCCAGGAACAAGGGAAGCACACAACCGTTTTTCACTTCCTTTGTTTACTAAAAACAGAGGCAAACTTGCTTCATTAGAGCAGCTACAGCAGCAGGAGCAGCAAAAGCAGATACAGCTCATCTTTGGTCAGACACATTCCAGCCCCCTGCTTCCCTCCAAGGTGTATCTGAGAAATAGTCCTTGACTTTAAGGGAAGAGCCGCAGACCAGAGGAGAAGTTGGGACTAAGCAGCAGGGAGGCATTTTCTGCATCCCTGCTCACCCAGAAGCACTCCAGCCAAGGAAGATACAATTCCTTTGTTTTCTGCATCCCAAAGAGACAGGTTTTCCTCCTATTTCTACTGTATATTAGCTATAAGAACCTGAAATCTGATTCTAGAAATAGAATCATTAAGCTAAGAATCCTTGAGGCAACTATCATCTAATACTATAATTCCACCTGGTCTACCAATATAATGAAAGGGTCTTAAGGGAAGTAGCTTCCTTCCATTTTAGGTGGGCATGGGTCTCAACAAAGTACTCACACCTTTAGCCTTTTCAGCACGGAGTGGAAGATATGCCATCCTCTCCCTTAATTTTCATCCCCAGGAAGGACAACAATATTCCATAAACATACTGTGTATAGAACACTCAACACATGCTTTTCCCTGTTAAGTGTGATATACTTTCTAAATCCTGGTAAATACTTTTAAAAGTTTATACACAAAAACATGAGAAGAAACAGTTCGTATCATTCTAATCAAAATGTTTAGAAGAACATGTGGATGTACAACTACATACTGGCAATGGCATACCTGGCTTAAGAGCAACCCAGCCACCCTTTTCTTGTTGGTGCATCCATGCTTTCCAGCCTCTTGCTCCTTTTTCTCCAATTCGTGGTTCTCCACTATCCCAAAAGGGTTCAAAGAATTCCACCTGTTGTTTTAGGCAGGGGGAACCAAAACAAAACAAGAACAACAATATTTTTTGCTGATTTACAGACACTACCTGGGTCAAATTAGGTTTTCCAGACACTATAATCACTTATCTGGGTACAACTTCTGTATCTGAAGACTTTGTTAGATACTGCTTAAGCACCAGCAGGAACAACCAAATACTTTAATTAAGTCTGTGGCAGAGCAGGACTATCACCAGATCTTCTCATTAACATAAAGATTGTTTTTAAAAGGTATTGGGCTTTGAAGAAAGCAAAAGACTTTTGTGCCAAATGTCCTATACAGATCCTTCAAGGATAAGGATCCAAAGTTCCCAAGATGTGGCTTTCAGAAACCAAATTTCCCCTCATTCCTATTTTCCATGGGACCATGAAGAATTTGACTAATGGAATGATAATTTAGACAATCATACACCTGTTGTCAAATCAAAATGTTACAGTTGGACATAAATATGACGAGACTGAGGACAAGTGGAAAAGATCAGTAAGGCCTTTCATCTCTCAAGTTTCAGGGTGGTCAACAACTTCAGGACACTTTCCAGTGAATCAGAAGTCCAGGGTTCTAGTCCTGACTTTGTCACTGCCTGTATGCAATCTGTTATCTTTAGATTCACCAATACCTCCCCTCTGCTTTGTTTATATTTAGCTCTAATGGCCATCTCTCTCCCATTATATGCTTCTTCTGTGTACCAAACCTTGGCTTGGACATTGAGATGTGACTGTTAACCCAAATATTAACAATAAAGTCTACTCTAAGAAAAATCAAGCATCAATCTATCAGAAAATGCAGAGCTTACAGTAACTGCAAAATATAATTCTGCTCTCATAGATGTATTCTTCGCTCCAAGTGAGAAAGTTAACTGTGAAAACAGTACGGAAACAAGTAATTCAAGACTGAGTCATAACACTTCTGCAAGAGGATAAAATGTGCGATCAGCTGTAAATCTGGCATTTTCCTATTTTCAAGAACTCTACTTTCCAACCTAATCACTATCCTTTTAAAATGAGGTTCCTTTCCATCCTGCCTTCTTAAGAGTTTTTAAACATTACAGATAATCTTGCAGTTTTTCAAGTGATTGGAAGTATAACTTGAGCTTTATCTGTGTAACTATATCAAATCTCCCATCCTTCATGATAATTATAATTAACTCTAAATGTGTGGCTCAAAGAGAACACCACTATTATTTAAACTGTAAGACTGCTCCAGTGATGGGTAACGGCATTAATCTAGAGAGCAAAAAATGAAATCTCAGTACTGGGTTTTGGGGAAGGAGGTAAGGTAATAGAATGAAAATGTCTGTCTTCTGTGATAGCTCAGCTACCTAGCTGGTGGGCCTTCCCACCACACATTAAAAAGGAAGCAGCTCCCAACAACCCAGTGGGAAGATGCTACACTGGCAACAGTCCACTCTAAATATTAATTTATTATTATTGGGGTGCACACCTGAGCAAACAAAGAAAAAAGTTATGTAGTACTTTAACAGAATAAGCTGAATGGAATCTCATGGGTCAAATAAAAGATACTTTAAAGTATGAAGGTGTTCTTAATGTACACATCAAAAAATTACGGAAAACAAAAGATAATTAAGAACCTAAAAAATTTTTGCAAGAGCTATCTAGAAGAGAAAGAGTAACAAAACAACAGCAGTTGTAGGGAAAAGGAACAAGGGAAGTGCTAATTAGACACATACATTGGTCAGCTGGCTCATTTTCTCCATCTTTAATTAGTAAAAAGACATGAAATGACTGGTTATCATACTTCTATAATATATATACACAGTAGAAGCAGGCATTTGACATGTTTTGCCAGAGGACCCACACGCATTTTTCCAATGCAAGCATCACCTTGAAGAACCACAAAATTGTGATTCAAAATATTTCCCTACGTCCTTAAAAAATTAATCAATGTTTTTCTGTTACAGCATTCTCTGTAATGCACAGGACATACACCCATTTAAATGGAAATTGCTACCTGTCCCCTTGTTGGCAGATCTTTTACACTGTCAGGTTTAAAGAAGGTGAAGTCCATCAGAGCCTGGAACAAAGACACTGCTTTCTCAGAATGGCCAGCCTGTCTCAGGAAGTGGCACTGCTGAATAAATATAGCTGTAAAGAAGATAAAATTTTAATATTTCAAATAAATTTTGTTGTAAATAATTTTATTACTGCCCACAAATATACAAAAGACATACATGAAGCGCTGTAAAGCATAATTGTTTTGGAACAGTATCAAACTCCAAGACACAGGGACTAACTAACATAAATGCATGTCAAAATTGTTGAAGTTTTACTTTAAGACCTCCCACTTTAAGTGCAGCAAAGAGATGACTTTCTATTCGTGTGACACATGCACTGCCCTTGTTGATGGATAAAAATGATATGCAACGGTCCCAACTTCAGTTTATCCAACACCTGTCAGAGTGGGTTATAGCCCTCTTTGAAGATGCTGGGCATTATTACAATTCGTACAGTAAGTGATTACAACAAAAATCCTTTTTGCCTAATTATTGTATGAGATAGTTACATTGGTAATATGTTGGTAATATGCATACCATATTCATTCCAACTGTCATTCCTGTTTTATCTTTCCCTACATAAGAACTCAGAGAAATCCAGTCTTTTGGTCAGAGTATTACTGCTTGAAAGTAGAGACGAGCCCTATCCCTTGCTCTTCAAACTATTTCAGTAATCACTGCCATATCCGTACCACATACTGAGCCTCCAGTCTCAGCTTAAAAGGGGAAGCAAAGCCCCTCTTTTATTAAGCAGTTAAGGACATTTCAGAGACATTCCATTGCTCCAATTTACACTCAAATTTCAACAAAACAGTGGCTGTTCAAAAAACAAATTGCTTTAAGTCATAATCTTCACTGGCTTGCAAAAAACCCCAAGACCCATAAATCAAATCATTATTTAGTTTTGAAAACATTCATGATAGTTTTGAAAAAAGTTCTTCAAAAACTATTGTTTCTTTACTAAATGCATTGGCTTTGGAGGGTTTTAACAATCAAATATTTAAGTGTCTATATACACACATGTAACAACATAAGTTAATGTCAGTTGCTTCTAATGATCATCTTATTTTTTAATAGTAAGAAGTGGCAAATGATATACTCGTTTTACCTGTATTCAGATTTACATCAGATGTATGCACATAAAAAAATCTGAATTCAGCTAGAATACACAAACTAGGCATTTAATCCGATTTTTCTGCAAAGTCAATGATTTTTTCTGGTAACAAAGACTCTGAAATTTCTGAACATATTTAAACCATAAAAATTTAGTATATATAATAGAATCTTCCAAAGTATTTTAACCCATTTAGACACTGTGTCCAACTGACACTGAAAGAGTTGTCCTTTCCTAGTTTCTCAGCTTCAAACAGATGAACTTTGATTAAAATAGTCTGAATGTAGAGAATATCTCATCAGGACTTGCTGCCAAACTGGAGCCAAAAATAAATTATAGCATAAGATTTTCTGCATGATAAAAAAGAAAAATACATTTTCACAAATGCAAAGATCAGCATTTTCTTTGTGGTAAAAGCTGAAAACAGCATGAATACATACTTAATTCAGCCCATGACTCTGACACTTCCGCAGCTGAACTGACCTAAAAGATTAAGGATGTTCCTCCCCAAACAGTAGGTTTAATTTGAGAAATAGGACTCCCTTTCCACGGCAAAATTTGAGAATGTTTACATTTATTCACTTTACATAATAGTTCCTAATATTAAAATCTTACAAATTATCTCAAAATTGAAGTAAAAACTGATCTATAACTTTAATTTTTACGTGCTTTCTTAAATGTCATGTTTTAAAAAAACCCCACCTATTTCCAAGCAGATAGTACTGCGTACTGAATTGAACACTAGATGGCACAGTCCAACACTATTTAAAATTAGCTCTTAAACTCATTAGCAAAGGCCAAAGGTTGAAGATACAAGCCTACCATACATCTACACTGTTCACCTCATAATTAATTTGTGAAACTCTGCATATTTACCTTCACGAACAATTTGATAATATTCCTAATAAGTACACTGACAGTTCAAATTCAGCCCAAGAATTAGATAGCTAAATCATTTTAAAAAAAAAAAAAAAAAAAAAAAAAGATATCTCAGATTAAGAAGTCTCCCCACTGGAAATTTCTCCAATACTATCATTTGAATTCCAAAGAGGGAAAAAAAAAAATAAATCCAAAACCCAAGCCCTAAACAGTGTTCATAAACAAATCACTATAGTCTTAATACAAAACAAGAAGACATTAAGAGTGGAACAGAAACACAAGCAAACTTGAGTTCATTTTCATTTTAACCTATTTATAGACAATGACAGCAAACAAGTATTTTGAAAAATGTCAATCAACCTAATAAAGTTAAAGCTAGAGCTAACTAGTTCAAGGAACTCTATTTTTTAAAAAAATCAATTTTCTCATAGCAGTTGACAAACAGTATTTAATGAGAAAAATATGTTCTGAGCAGGGAAATGAAATGAAAGAAAACCTTCCTGTTTGAAGAAATAGATGCTGAATAAAACATGTACTAAGAATCGTTCATTGTGGTTAGTGTACAAAGTGACTGAAGTCTTGGAAATCAGAGACAGTAGAAGCAATTAGAAGCTAACAGGCAGTACAATATCCAGCTGCCAGCACAGGATTTTTATATTACAGCACTTTTTCCAGTGCTTGATCCAAGATGTATCAACCCAAGACCGTAAGAGATCTGAACACCTGAAACTACTCTGTAACCCAGCATCTCAATCTGTAAATGCAGACTGGATACTGTATAACAGCTCAAAAAGCAGTTACAAGACTTGGATAAAAAGACTGGACTGCTTCCTAATAGTCTCCTCTAGATTTAAAAATAAATTTTTAAAGGAAAAACAAACATATTCATGGTGACACTAATATATCCTCCTCCTCAGTGTATTCATAGATTAATAATCACAATGACCACCCGAGGCAGAGAAACTAAACTGAAATAGGATAGATTAAGTCATTTAGCTCCAAATAAATTTAAAACCCATGCCAGAACTGAGCACGAACTCATTTCTTACCTACATCCAGTCCAGCATCCTAACCATCTGACTAATTTTCCTTCCAGCAGTAATTATACATGGTAAATACATGCATACAATAAATACAAAAGGCATGATCACATGATATTACAGTTTAGCATTCTTCATCTATGAACTGGGATGCTCATGAAAATTTCACATCAGACTTCCCATGTCCCTCCTCTTTTCTAAATTAAAATAATTAACTATAAAACTTTTGAACAAGAGATAGTTGTCTTTTTTTTTTTTTTTAATAAACTTTTTTCAAAGATAAAAGCTCATCTCTCAGTTGCTGGCTCCAATTCTCCATCCTTGACATTTGTACTGTAAATCATTCAGAGCGTTAGTCTTTACTGGATGTTATATCACAGACTCACTTGGGGAAGAAAATCATCTGCTATATCCGTATTTGGTTGGAATATCTGCTTTCATTCTCAGCTAAGAAATCAGGATGCCATGCATTTTGAAGTGAATAAAAACTTCCCATTAAACGCAGGAAAGTCTGTTTTACTGAGAATGTAGTCAACTCCTATGAAGACCCTTCAGCCCATAACAGGAAACAGAAAGAACCTTACCTAGCATAGCTTCTTCTGTGCCAGGCAGAAGAGGATGTGATACCATGCTGCCATCTTGTACAGCTGCCAATGTAGTCAAACATTTTCCATAGAGACTATTGATTTTTGAAACAGAAAAGGTAGTGAACTGACTTTGACAGAACAGAAGATACTTCTTCCACAGCTCTGGATTATTGGGATGTAAGAAAATTAGCTTCTGCCACTCTTTGATTAAAGCTGGTGGTTCCCAGAATTCTGTGCAAAGCTTCAGCCTGGCAAGTTTCAGATCAACATTACCCGGATTGCTTTCAATTGCCCTCTCTAAAATGGCCAGTTTCTTTTCTAAGATTAACTTCAGTGATTTTCTTCTTATTTCCTGCTCTCCTTTACTGGCATATGGGCTAGGTCCTCTCATTAGTTCATCCTTAAAACAAAAAGAAAAATCATTATAACATTAGGAATAATCATCACTAGAATCACAAGAAGAATAGTGACACCTGTGAAGACGAGTTAACAGCTCGTTTTTCACCAACAGAAAATCTACAGTCCTAAATAAATGAAACTACAACATAACATTCATGTATTTATTACTTATAATAATCAACTAGGTCTGTCAGAACACATACCTGAAAAGAAACAAATTCCATCCAGGCATTAATATCTCTTGGGTTTTCTCTGACTTTCTTGTTATGTTCTTCTACTTTTGCCATTAGAACAGAGTTAATCTTTATCCCAGGCTCTTGAATAGTTTGTTGTGTATTTACAGGCTCATGGTCTGCAATCCTGCCCTCTTTTCCTTGTAGCCACACTGTAGTTGATGTATCATAAATCCCAAGAGGATTTACCTCCATTGTGTCAGAAGGATCATCAGTTTCCACTTGGAAAACTGGTATAAAAGCAGCTGGGTGAGATGGACTTTTATTGCAAACAGGAATCCCATCTGTGTTCAGCATCTTCACATTGTTCTTTGTGAAGTAGCGCTCAGGTCGCCTCTGTAATTGCTTCCTTTTTGATGCAGAACTGTCCCAAGTTATACACTGTTTCTTTGCATCTATGCCAAGACAGGACTCTCCTCTCCTTTTATATCTTACAAGGAAAAATAGAATTAAACATATTCTAAAACATACATTAGAAAAGATACTGCCTTTCTGAAAGAAAGCATGGAAGAAATACTTTAAGTGAAGTTGATCCAAATAACGTATGCATAAACCTTCAAAATCATAAGGACTTGGTAACTTTCTCCTTATTCAAGAATATAATTTATATTTTTTTTTCAGTGTCATCAGAATTTTTATTATCATACTAAGCTTCCTGAGACAGTATCTGTCATACCCAGCAGACGAAAATTTTTTTTTCCTCCTATCATTTTAAGTCATGTAGACTAACTTGAGGAAAGAACAAACCATTACTTAAAACTATTTAGTTTCTATTATTTTAAACTGAAAAATCAGACACCAGTACTCCAGTCTTGTAGTATCTTTCTGTATCCTTAAGCATTTCATATGCCAAGAAGTGGGCACGGGGGGGGAGAGGAAGGAGAGACGACGTTCATAAAGGCCACAATAATCCTACAGATTAATGAAAACGCAATCTTAAAATATTACCAAGAATGTCATTTTAGTGGCAGACATAGTGATGTACAACACTAAAGTAACATTTTTCATCTCAACAGCTGGCTAACAAGACAAAGGTGACAGAAAACTGGAATGGATTGTAACCAGGCAATTTTACTGCAAAGGTATAAATACACTATAAAAATAAAGCCCTTAAATCCTCCCTCTTCCATAAATACATTTTTTATATAGTAAACAATTTTCCTTGAGAACGTCAAGAAATAAATGTATGTACATAATGCATGAGCCCAGTGTAGCCCTTTTAGATGGGCTTCTCTGTTAATGTGAGGAAATGTTCTGAAGGGTCATCATAGTACCAGTAACCCACTAAGAATGTTGAATACGCAATTTCATCTACACTCATTTGAAATGTAGCAATGCACGACAGATACCCTTTGGTAAAAAGTCTGGGTGATCTAACACAGAATTTGTTTGCTAAGAAAGTACCTATACAGGGTTTTTTGCAAGGATATCAAATTACTCAAGTGAACCTCTTGACAGATTCAGTATGGAATAATCATTACCTTCATTTCCCTTTCAGACACAAAAACAGAAAAACAGAGATCAAAAAGAGCACTCGCCCAAAGATGATCTGTAACAGAATCTGGGACTTCCGACCTCAAAATCATGCTTTTGAATCTGCCCCATGCTGCCACCTCCAGAAGGCAGTTCCACAAGCTCACATGCCTGCCATCTACCATACAGAGAATGTTTTTAGAAAAAAATAATCATGCACTTTATTCCCATTATTTCATTATATCTTTTGCCTTTTAAAATATTTATGCCCAATGCAAAGTTTTGGAAGAAACTATTCAGTTACCTTATTTTCTCATTGTGACATAAAATTTCACAGCCAGACTTGAGTTAATGAATCTTGAGATAGTGACTCTGTGATAGTTTGAATACCAGTAGAAAGCAACATACAGTACCTTGCTATGTCCCCTCGATACAGAGATTTGTAGGCCCAGTTTGCAGGGTCTGGTTTCTTGTCTATTCTGAAGGTTTCTGCTGTGAAATCCTGGATATCATCAAGCCAAACAAAGCGATTGCTGGTAAGATTTGACGTTTTCTTATCTAGACTGCAGAAAAGTAGAAGTATATTCTAAACATTAGTGCACATACTCAGCATTTACAAAACCCAGGAAATACTGCATTTCTGTATATATAATTTAATTTGCTCAGTCATGGTACATGACTTTGTTGCATACATCCATTATTGCAAAGTCAGTCGTATGCTCAGAAAAAAAACAGTAAGAAATACACTAATAGCACTATCAAAACAAAATACAAACACTTGCTCCTCTTACACTTTCGAAAATTGGATTTATGATGATGAAAGGCAATAACCAAATTTAACCAATCAGTTGCTCGGCAAACTATAATCTAAAAGCCATATATATATATATATATATGTTGTTATGTTGATTAGATGGAATTACACTCACGCATTTGATAAAACAGTGTGCAAAGTGGCTTATGGATTACAGTTGTACAAATGAACTTAAATGGAAATTGCCACCTGCCTCTGAACATAGATAACTATGAACTTCCAATCTGAATTTATGTTACAAATATGTAGCTTCATAAATGAGTTTTATAGTTTCGAGAGGCTTTCTAACATTTCTCAAGACCTACTATGCTTAGAGCAATTTTGCAGTTCAGGTTTCAAAAACAGTCTCCTTAAAACTCAGTATTCTCTCAGTATCAACAATTTATGGAAAGCAGTAAAAATAGACACCCTGAAAATACTTCAACCCCTTCATTTGGGCAAAGCGCTGGCTGGTTGGCCCAATCTAGCAAACAGCTGATGAACCAGGTGCAGCACGTTAGTCCATTCCATACAGCCCAGACACCCTCCCAGCAAAGACGAGAGTGACTGGACAGAGCAGAACGGTCTTAAGCATCCCAGTGATTTTTACTGTTTCCTCACAGTCAAGTACACCTTGGCCACCACAAGCCAACAGCAGAGTCTTCATAAGGGAGGCAGTGAGTATGGGTAGGGACATCAGACAATACCTCCACTACCATTCCTCCACAGGGAAACAATGATAAGATCCCATGACATAGACACATGCCCACCAGCCCGTGCTCTCAGCTTCTGGTTAATCTGCCCTGGGAAAGTAGTAAATTGGGGGAAAGTCAAGGACTGCCTGGACTACACCCAGCTGTAACAGCAAGACCTCAGTGTCACCAAATCCTCACTCTGTCTCCAGGAGCAGCTACAGTGCTGTGAATTAGAGCCAGAGCTGCTGACACTAAAGAAAAAACAGAAACTAAGGAATCTGAGAGAAGCAAAATGGCTGTTCAAGCCAGCAAACATGAAGAGAAATAGAGAAAGGTGACCTACACAACTAGTTAGACTGGGCCACTTTGAATGAAATGATCAAAACCCAACAGACTGAGAAAAGCACAGCCAGGTATGTCAAACCTGAATACTCAGTGCATTCACAGAACCTCTTTTACTGCTCAAAGATCATGCTAGTCACTACGCATCTATTTTCTTGTTCCACAGAAAATGACACCTCCACTAATTACACAGCACTTTAGAGCTCCTGGAATTAACAAAAAAGATCTAGCAAAACAACTTTAATTGTTTAAATAACCATCTACATGTACCATGAGCAAGAAGTATGAAGCATTCAGCATGGAGCAATAAATGGCTGGACATAAAAAAAAAAAAGTTAAATCGTACAACAAACTTTGTCTTAATAGGAAAAAAATGAAATGTTAACTCTGCGAAGAGGAAGTTATATTACAAAGCAAACACAACTGTATATTAAGACTTTTGCATTAATTAAGAATGATGTTTAACGCAGTCCTTCTCCAAACTCTCCCAAAAGAAGATCCATCAAAGGAGAAATGATGCTTACAAAAAGTCAACATAAGCCTCTACATGTCTTTAAAAATAAATTTAATTACACCATACCATGCTTTTTTCTGCACAACAGTATTTCACAGAATATTTTAGTCACAGTTTTTCAAATATGATTAAGCAAGTGGTTCTAATTCTATTTTCATTGCTTTGAATGCAGGTTTAGTCATATACAGCTTAGAAAAAAAGCTGATAATTTAATTCATAAAAGTTGGAGAGACAAGTACAAGAACACAATGAATTTACACCTTGCATCGTATTAATAAATACATACTTTGCTGCTGCTTCCTTTTCATGATTTCTGACACTTCCTTTGGCCTTGTCACTGATGTCCTTAGTGTCCAGATCCAATTCACTGCTACTGGAGTCCCCTTTGATTTTTTTTTTTGTCTTCTTATAGTGGTGATGTTTTTTCTTTTTCTTTTTCCTTTTCTTACTTGACTGTTTCAGACTCTCATCTGTATCACTCTCCCCTGACAACTCTGATCTTGAAGTAGTCCTGCTTGGAAACAAGTATATAAATCTCTATATAACTATATATCCAAGTAGCAAAACTGTAAAATAATTTTGAACTTTCTTATGGTGGTATTATTTTACACTTTACATTTATTCTCCCTGTATTTTTGGAGAACAGAATTAGCAGCAACACATACAATGGAAGTGATATAAATTTGCATTAAATAACAACTATGTTTATTTCTTCAGCTGCTGGAATTACTGACAACCAGTCTTAAAAGATTTAATAGTCGAAGGCATTTTGAGGTGTGATCTGTATAAATATTCACCTATTATCATTGCCAAACTAAAGAAGATGACTGAGCTGATGAAATTTCCTGACTTTGCTAAAACAACTTAGGTCAAGCTAAAAGGATAAGAAATCTTTCAGGGTGACCTGCAAAAGAAAAAAATCTGCACTTTTTTCCCTTGTTTCTTTAGGATTTACATAAGAAATATCAAAAAGATACTTCTAAAATCGCTTCCAGATTAGAAAGTCAAATCTCACCATCAAGGAACTTTTGATGACTACTGAATTAATGTTATCTCATATATATATATATATATACATACACACACATATACATAATGTAGTAACAAACACTGACTTACTGACAGATCACAGAAAGGACAGATAATTTTGGCAAAACACGTGTATGTCATTGTACATACTACATACACTCCCATACTTAACAATCAACTGAAATAATGGAGGTCTTCTTTAACCATTAATTAAAGCACGAGCTCTTTTTAAACATCTTTTTTCTGGAATCGTTCAATAAGAGAAAGGTGTGACAAATCTCAGTATTTCTAATATGCCAATAAAAGAAAATGCAGTGTTTCAAAAGCAAGGCACCTCAAAAAAAACCCCAACCACCTTACCCGATTTACTTAAGGGCACTAAGAAAAAAGAAGCCACAGGAGAACCATTAAGAGGCCTTTTAAAACAAACACACACACTCCCCCAAACCATAAACACAACCCAACCTCCCCCCAAAACCACTGACTATGTTGGAATAATTAGTTTTTACTGAACTGAGAGAGTACCCTAGTAACAGACAAAAAGATCAAACATTTCTCTGTACTCTATTTTTTGACAAATTCTTTCTCAAAGATTAATTAATATGGTGGCTACTATGTCATTCTATCTGAATGGTAATTTGTAAATTCTTTAGTTTTATGACATTAAAGTCCTGAAAATATTTGAAGAAATATAAGCAGAATGTATGACTGATAAACAGAACCATGACTGCATTTCAATCACACAATACATGTAAATGCAAGAACAAGTATACTAAAAGATGTATTCAGCTGAGATTGTAATAACAAAGTCATTATCTACCATGACCACCAACAGTCATTGTAAACACAGGCACTTGTATAAAACGATTTTTGAACTTGGCAACTGCAACTCAATTCCATTAATAATTAAGTGCTACTCATATAGTGCAGATATGCCAAGTATAGCAGCTATTCTGGTCAAGGTATTAAAACTAGTTCCTCAGCAAATGTGGCTGCTTAAGGATCATTTCTGTAAAAGAATATAATCACCCGCTTCAGTGATCAGCATGTTCTACACAGCCAAGCAACCTGATATGTGTAATATTTCATTAAATCGCACCTTCAACTAGATTTTGAAAAGCAAAAAACTCAACTGTGAAATGGTTGATTGAACTGGTTTCCACAGAGAAATCACAAAGATGATGCTTAATCTTTACATTATTTCAAGGGTCACTTAAGACATTCAAAAGCTAATGAAGGATCATGATCACCCAGTCAACTTTCCACTCCAAAATAACAATGATTTAAATGCAGCTGTGAGAAAAAAAAATGGGAATGTAATTGCATAAGTATAATTTTTCATTATTTTAAGTTAAAAGACACAGAAGCATTATTCCCACTTTTATATATGACTCAGTTCAGGCCTTTTTAAATACTGAACAGTGGAATGAAAAGCAGCCCTAAAAGCTCCTGATTCTGGTCTCAAATAACAAAATATAAGCAGGACAAAAGAAAGAAGCTATTTGAAAAGATACTGAAGTATATCCTGCCTTATTAGTGGTGACTTTTCAGGGACGAGATTTGCAACTTCTGTAGTGCGCTGATGCAGCAACAGTGCATCTTCCGTAGAGAAGCTTGGGTTACTAAGCCAGTCCAATTCTGCAGGTAAAGAAAAGTGTGAGATCAGTACAAAGTAGCTTGCTGGGCTTTTTAAAGTTTGGGGTTAATCTAGTCAGCAGACAGCTAAATTCACAGCAAATGTCACTAAATCATGTGTAATAATTGAGCATATCAGAAAGCAGTTCATGAAATTTCCATTTAGCAGAACACTAGGTTCTAATGAGGTAAAATATTTAGGAGCTGTAATTTGCCATTGACATCAATCAAAGCTTAAAAAACCCACTGTATAATAATACTTAAAAGTTTATACTAAAAGCAGATAATGTGTTTCATATATTGCTATATACTTAAAAAAACCCAAATCTGTCCAATATTAATTTTCACCATGTAAAATTCAAACTTTATATATTTATATGTTGTATAAATGTAACATATATGCATAATTAGATAAGATCTTTGAATGTATCCTCATGTGGTTAACATATTAATTATAATTTTTATATACAAGCTATAATACAGGTATTTACATATTTAAAGGGTAAAATTGAAAAAATTACAAACAAAAGGTATAGTTAATGAATGCAATACAACTTATGCAAACTCGCAAAAATGTACTATACTCACTGTATGGAAAATATTTTTAACACTGTTTTATTGATGGGGACACCCATTACTGACAAGAATACTCAAGTGTTTTATATAAGGTCAAAACAGGTCACTGGATTCTCAGTTCTCTAACCACCAAAATCCCACTAGACTTTTAAATAGTGTGAAAAAAGGCTAATTGATGCTAATTTTGATGTATTAGTCAGTATTAAGCATTCTGTATCTAGACCTCAGCCATTTCAGTCATCAGATAAGACCAGATACTGACAGGATGTGAGGAGGAATTTTTTTGCAATAGTTTTACTAATATTAAAACTTCTGTAACAATTTTCAGAGAGTCATTTCTAGAATTTTTTTAAGTATGTGAAATTTTCTAACATATTAAACAACAAATGTTATTTCACATAAGCACAAAATTTAACAGCAGCGTCTCTGGTGCCAGACCGCAGGAAACAACAAAAAGGAACAAATTTGCTCTCCCTGCCTGTTCTCCATGCTCTTTACAACCATTTCTGTCTCAATGTTCTTCCTGTCACACTTTCGTCTTTGTGCTTTTGACTACACTGACCTCTAATTCTTAAATAGCATGAACTCATTGCCTGACAAGCCATACATCTCTCCTCCTTCTAAAGTATCTTTCAGACATAGCTCTTCACAACGAAATTCTTTCTTCTGTCTCATGTCCCCGAACTGTAGTCCACAAAAGGCTTTAAAACGGAGCAGGCTGCAAAACAGTTTGTTAAGTTAAATTCATCAAGGAGTACATACAATCAAGCAAAGCTCCAGTTTGCATTTCCCAAGAAACTGCCCCTGCTACCAAAGGCCCCATGGGGAGGGCCACCCTCCCTGCTGGCTTGTCTTGAAGCCTCCACCTCTGTGCAGAGAAGAATCCACAATTCACGGCACTGTCAGGACCAAAACATACTTCCCACTAGCGCCCCAACCAACACGCTGCAAAACAACTGCACACACCACTTCCCAGCTCACTAAAATGTAGAATCGAGACTGAAACATAAAAATCCAGCTCTGTAACATACATGCATATTACTGCCTGACAATCAGAATCACCAAATCTAAGGCAAATACACTACCCTATTTTATAACAAATCAAAAAGAAATTTTTCTTTCTCCTTCCAGGAAAATACATAAGATATATTAATGTAAAATTACAATAAAAATTGAAACCTTAAGACCGTGATCTTTGCTTTCCTATTTAAAATATGATAAAAATCTACTGTTTAATTTAAATTAATCCACCCTGGCACCAACGCCTTCATTTTGAGTATGTGTCTACGATTCTAAAACTGTAAATCTACCACAAAGCATTCTTCCAAAACCTTTGGTGAGCTTAGAAGAGAAAGATTTATGCTGGATAATATCCAAGCAACATTTCACTTGCCTATCAAAATAATTATTCAGCCTGCTGGGGAATAAAGTGTTATGCAACAATAAATTAATTTCTTATTTCGATCCTGTAAGAGATGTATTAAGAACCAACCTAAAATCATAATTACTTCTTAGAAGAATTGTATTTAGTATTTTCCATTAAATACCAAAACGTTCCTCACAGATAATTCTGTAACCATTACATACTTAAAACACACAGGATTTAAATAAATTCATACACCTAACTACTGCATAATCAAATTGGAGTTAATAATTCAATATATGTCACACAGTATACCAAGGGCTGCTTTTTACCTGAGATTTGAGGTATATTTATTAAATGTGATATTGATTAAAAAAATTATCTTCCTTATACTCAATTATTTCAGTTCATTTTGGTAATGAAGACAGGGTGTAAAGGAATGCAGGAGCAAACTGCAACCCTACAATGAGTTTCCACTGGTCACACTCTGGTGTTCCTTATACAGAGATAAATTCAGCGAAAGTACAATGGTCCAGAGCTCTCCAGAATTCAGCAAATGAAACTAAACTGTACATAAAGCCTTTTATTTATTTACAGAAATAAAGAAGATATTTAATTCCCTAAAAAAAAAAACACAAAACACCTTTGTTTTGACTTGTGTTGTATTACCCAGCACCACCTACCAAACCAGAAACATTTACTCATTGGGAGAGTCTCTAGTGTAAAAGAGATATACAGAACAAAACTATTAGCCAGACAGATCGCCTTAAAATTATTATATCTATTTGAAAGATATATAAAACTTACCTAATTTGTCTTTAGCAAGATCTCCAATAACATACTTCAGCACTAAGATATTCTCTATAGCCTTTGAGCTTCTCTTCTTTTTAATAAAATCTGTTTCTTTTTGTAATGTGCAATAAATCGTTTACAAGTATTATTTTTTGGTTAAAAAAATTTATAGTAAGGTAGTTCTGTATTGATTTAAGAATTATGGTTCAAAAATCACCTGAAATATATTAATACTAAAACTCATGACACTTAATAAAACACTGTGTTATGTTGTTTTGGGGTTTTTTTTAATTAGCTCAAAAGGCAGAATGAAGTTAAATAATTTGCCTTCAGTCACACGGAGTTGTTGATGACAAAAATTTAAAATTCAAGACATACAATATTCAGACTATTAGGAAAAAAGTCTAAGTTGCTTAACTTTTCAGATCTTGATCTAAGGTCTTTTAAAATGCTGTATGCATCAAAACAGGCTTTTCATTGATTTCAAAAGCATACTATCAGGTCTTCCAAAGAGTAATGCAGACAGTGCATTTTTTAATACGCTTCATCAGTGTTAACACTTTAGATACAGACCAGCCCAAGCTAGGAAAAAAACCCGTTTGCGTACAAGTATGCTAGATTTCAGAACCTCAAGCATTACGGCACTACAGTGCCAAGTAACTTCCAAATGGACATACAGATCCTTAGCAGCACTAAGAGCTTCAGCCAAAGGCAACTGATACATTTCTTTTTAAAATGGCATTATTGATCACATTAACAGAAAAAAAGGAACACCGAAGAAAATAAACAAAGAAAGTAGTAAAGCTCCAGCTGTTTTAGAAGACAAAATAAAACATGGGGCTGATCAACCATATAAATTTCCCTGGGGCACAAAGCACACTTTAAAGAGGCTACACCTGAACTGGCAAAGAGTGGAAAGCAGTTATCTTTATATTTCTGTTTAAAAAGCTGTTCCAAGACCAGAATCACATTCTTAAATAAAGAGTTGGAAAAATTTTTATACGCCTCCTCTTCCCAGCAAATTAATCCTGCAGCTCACAAAAGGGTGAATGAAGCCTGGATTTCTGAGTTCTGTCCTCCACCCTTTACACTCCCCACTGCTGCCACAGTTTCAGGAATTATCTGGGTTCTCTAGACCCTTCTACAGTACTTTGCCACATCCCTTAATTATTGGCTGGGCAAGAGGCAGCCTGTGCTGTGTCAGATTGTGATCGCTGAAGATGTTTATTAGTTGGCTAATGTACAGACACTCATTGCCAAGCCCATCCATCTATCCTGGTAACAGTTCAATTCACGTTACAGCCTCTCTTGCAGCAGTGGCACTTTATCTAGATTCATCTTTCCTAAACAAACGTAGATTTTCACAGACCTCCTTTACTTTTACCATTTCTCTTCCCCCACCACAACAAATTCGACTGAAAGGGTTAAAACTCACGAGGAAAAAGAGAGATACTGAGGAACTAGCTGGCAGACAGATGCATAGCAAGCATGCATGAAATCAATTTCCACTGAAAATTTGCCTTAAATATAGCAAAATAATGTATATTATCACCATTACCTATTACAAATTAACTTCCAATGTGTCATTTTGACTTAAATTTACTTGAAAGTATTTTTTACTCCCTTACAGATGCGAAGTCACTCGCTAACTTGGTACAATATGATTACAACAGTGAGCACAAGCAGAATAAGGTTTATTTTTCATATTTTATGGTTTAGGGCCTCTAAGGAAAATGCACCTTGAGAAATGGAGTCATAAACATTAATCCCCTGACTGTGCCTGTAGCTTGGTTCTACCTGAGCAGATGAGATCAAATTGCATTTTTAAAACATTGAAGAATCACGCTGCAAGAACCAACCCCTGTAGCAGTCGGTGTGCCTCTGTGAATACACCAGGGAAATGTTTAGAATTCTCCAACTGCAATATTTTCTGAACAATTTAATCAAACTGACCTAATACTCCGGAAAGAATTGAACAATTTTTTCCATTACACAACAGACCAGTCCAAACTTCCTTGTAAATAATATCCAGAGAAACAGTTAGCTGGATACGAGTATTTCAAACACCAAAATGCATTCCAAACTTTAAAATTCTACTTTTTCAATTGTTTACCATTTTTTTTGTCAGATATCTGAAAAGTTTATCATTTTCACAGACCAGATTTACCATCTTAAAGAACATAAAGAAGATATAAAATACTTATTTTGTGATAATATGCATGTATTTGTTAATGTTCTACTCTACCATCCACATTTATGAGCACAACAGTAGAAGCAATCCAATGACATTCTTTTTATACCTTCCCAAGAAAAAAAAAAAAATTAAAATTTACAGTGCATATCTGTGGAGACTTTAAGAGTTATGCAAAGCCTTTTGTTGCCTCTCAGAATCCTGAAAATCCACTTTCAGCAAAAATCACTGCATCAGCTTACCTATAGAATAGTTCAGACTGCAAATAATGCTGTCCATAACGCTTACTACCTGTCAGTGGGGTTTATTATTACCGCTGCTCTGTTCATGGCTACTGATAAATTTGTAATTTATCTTCTACCAAAAACTAATTAAGCCTGACAACATAAGTGTAAGAAACCATACACAAAATTACTTTGCACTCTAGATGTTGCTGCAATTCAGCAATCTAGCAGGATAGGAAGAGTGTACAGCAATACTTCCGCTTCAGGCAGTACTTATATTTATAAATGGTTTGTAAGAGAATGAGACAGAGGTGGTCAGATGAATGAAACATGTTTGACATATTTACATTATTACCTCAAACTTTACAATAACGCTATGAAGCAGCCCTAAAGACTGCAAAAGACACCTCAGTTTTGGGTATCATGTTAAATACAACATACACTGTGATCTCTGTATTATGACAGACTTCGGCTTCCTTCAAGCTCTGAGGAGAGTCATCTATTAGAGAGATACCGAAGTTGCCTGTCAAATTCTCAAGTTCTCACAAGCTGAACATGTGAAATTTGATACAGGCCACCATAAACATGGTTGTGAGTTAATAATTAATTTTTATAACTTACACTGAAATGTGGTCATTAAAAATAAAAGTACAATATTGGCTAAACATAAATCAAACAAATTATGTTCCTTAAAATGTTGTCAATAATTCTCATACAAAAAACTTCTAGTGGACCAAAATGGAACTCATAAACAGTGCTAATAACTGAAATCTAGATGCAAAAGTCAGTCTTAAAATCTTTTCCTGTGTAGTTTGATCTTCTAGACAGGTAGTGTGCAGTGACACAGACTGGGCATAACAAACCTAAAAGCTAAATTCCCAGTATGAAAATATAAGTAAGGTCTTACTACGAGAGAATTTCACTGTACCTCTATCCGTCAGAGCAGCTCCTCTCTTCCTGGAAGCTGTAATTTCGGGTCTTATTTTGTCAACTAACCCCTGCACCAATCGTCATTACCAGAAAGGCTCCTAAATGTAGCTAGAACATCTCTGTACTGGCAGACTGAGTATCAACAACTGCAATACCAAGTAATGCAGAACTGGTTAGAAGCAGCTAACCCCAGCCTATATTGCTAAAAGCTTCAAAATCTCACCATACTGTCTGGACCAAACAAGAAATTTAGCCTAGTTTCCCCTTGCTGTGGTGTCTAAGAGGATGGGCAGACTCAAGGGTGGTGGAAGCTGATGAGCAAAAAACGTAGTTCAAAACATCTCCCAGCAGAATTAATATGTTGTGCATACTTGAGTTTGGCAATACACCAGGCAGGGTTCTGCACTCGTGACAGTCAAGATGGTAAACTGAATCATAATCTCACTCATGACCTCCCAAAAAATATCCAGCTAAAATTTGGCTTAATAAGCAAGGAAATAAGAAAAAACTTTTTAAGTTATCCAAGTCTAAGGGTGAAAACCACCTTATTTTCTGCATAAGACTAACCTCCACCACACACACAGTTAACATACACGTATTTTTCGAAGATGAGTATTTTTGCAACCATGCCTCCAGCACCTACCAGCAGACAGCTGGAAGCAAATCTGAACACACCTGAGAACCCACCAATGAGAAGCCAGCACCATTTTTATGGGAATGTCCCTATTTCGGATTATCTCCAAAGGTTCCTCACGGAAAGTAACTTTATTCGTAGTACGGTAACTTCACTCCAACCGGCAGCACAGCGCTGCGCAGAGGGCGCCGGGCCGCCCCGCACGGGAGGGAGGAGCGCGGGTGAGCGGCGCACCCCTCCGCGCGAGGCGGCGAGCTGTAAACGAGAATGTTGTAAAAAGCTATCCTTCCTTTCTGTTAGTACCCGCTGTATGTTGAAAGGCCCATCTAGCCAGCCAGCCTGTCTCAAATATGGGTAATGAAGGCTTAGGGAAGATATAACCTCCTACAATCAATCCCTTATAAATCTCCTGACCAGGGAGTCACCCATCATGGTTAATAGCATCCATGAGTCTGCCCTCCATAAAGGAACTGGAAAAATAATTTTTTATGTTTTTGCACTTTGTGCCTTCTTGGTCAGGATGTTCTACTTTTTAATTATGTATTGTCTGAAACAGTATTTCCTTTTTGTCTCAAACCCAGTGCCTGAACCTTGCATTGTGAGGAAGAAGCATCCTTCTTCACTTTCGCTGCAAAATTTTATATGCTGTTAAAATACTTAAGTATTTTCCTTTCTGGATTGAAAAGTCTGCCTTTTTTCTTCATATATTAAAGCCACTCCATAATGTTCTTGTTGAATTTCTTAAGTTTTTCTAACTCCTACACTAATACTACTCTACAAGCAGAATTTCATGTAGTTATTAAGCTATAGGTGTACATTGGGTTTAGGGACTGTATGGAATTATAATGACTGGTTTGTTTTCTGCTCCTTTGCCAATACCTTCTGATCATTCTGTTTGGCTTTTGGCCTCTCCTGAGCTACAATATCTCTTAAGAGCCCATTCCTGAGTGGCAATAACAATAGGTAACTATTGTGTATAAATGTTAGAATTAGCTTCCCTATACACACACCACTTTGTGTATAGGCACGTTTAGATAAAGCAGTTTATGTTCCTTCTCCATTATGGGGATAATTCTTCTCTACCTCCTCTACAACATTTTTCTTCTCTTTTTTTCAAAACAGAATTTGCAAAATGGCATCAAAGTACATGTTAAGGATTTGGTTACTGGCCAATGGAGTGGACCATGTGAATTATTAACCTGGGGCAGGGGTTATGCTTGTGTCTCTGCAGATGCCGGCCCTTGCTGGGTTCCTGCTCGGTGTGTTTGGCCTGTGCTGGAACCTACATCTGGGTGAAGAATGGGTAGTTTCACAACCCAAGCAGAATGTCTGGGTAACTCTGGCAAACATGACACATCAAGAAACTTTGTGTCTCTCTACTGCAAGCCCTGAAAACACATTCTCCATGTGCTTGGTGGGATTGCCAGTAGACACATGGCCAAACCCACTGGGCAGCAGTGTGGATCTTTGCAACTCTCAAAAAAACTGTATGGACAGTTGGCATGGTGTATATAGTCAACTTATGCAGATTACAGAAGAATTAGAATTGGTAGGACCCGTCATAATGGATGCTTGTTTGTTTTTTAATTATTCATATAATAACACTGTACGGCGAGGTCAAAATGTTAATGCAACTAATGCTATTTATCATAATTCAACCACTTGGTGCAACTATACCTCACCTAATGTTTCTCGGTCCTCTTCTGTCCCTCTTGCTTTGCCTCCTGGTATTTTGTTAATTTGTGAGGATCAAGCATGGGAGGTATTCCATTTAAATTAAATGGAGGCCCATGTAGCCTTGGTGGTCTCACTCTTTTGACACCTAATGAGATGATGATATTCAATGTCACTAAGCATGGGAGACAGCTAAGGAGGAGTGCACACCAGTTTACCTCAGGCTGTGATGACAAAGTTACATTTTGGAATCCAGGTCAAATTATTGCATCCTCCTTTTTTGCACCAGGAGTCGCTGCTGTGGCTGCACTAAAGAAATTGACTAATTTGGGGTGTTGATTGAGTAGGCAGGACAGGGCTGCAACACTGGCACTTACTGGGTTACTAACTGATGTTGATAGTGTTAGACATGGTGCTTTACAGAATAGAGCTGCTATTGACTTTTTGCTTTTAGCACAGGGGCATAAGTGTGAAGACTTTGAAGGTATGTGTTGTATGAATTTATCAGATCACTCGGAATTATCTTTACGGGTATACAACAATTAAAAGAAGCCATTAAGCATTTAAGTGAAGGTGAGACCAGATTGGCTAACAAAAATGTTTAAAGGCTGGGGACTATTCGGATGGCTAATATCTTTGGTCAAGACTGTGGGACTAATTATCTCGATAGTTGTAGTTCTGTTATTGATGTTGCCTTGCCTTGTCACTCTTTTGCAATATTTCACACAATATTTTTAGCACAAATACAAAAAGGGGGAATTGTCGGGGAAGGCAGATGGTCTGCCACTAACCTGACTGAAGAAGAGTTTGACCTTGACAAGATTCTGGTGTACCCTTGAGAAGACGAAAGAGACAGATGAAAGAATGTTGTAAACAAGTTTGAGGAAGTAGTTTACCGTGGAGTGGGATGTAAAGAAAACATGGATATTAGAAAATAACTGCCAATCATAATTGTGAAAAACAACTGTATAACCAATAGGCTTTTGCCTTGGTGGCAGATAAATGTTATAAAAGGCAGATAATAAAAAGCTGAGCAATCTTCTCTTCTCTTGCTTGCTAACTCAAGCATAATATTCTCCTGTTGTTTTTGTCCATTTCCAATGACATCTGGTGACCTCGACGTGCAACAACGATGCGCAACAAGGACGAGATCATGATTTGACAAGGACGTGATTTGGGATTTGCGACTTAGCAAAGGTGGGTTGCAGGACGACGTGCAGCAGAGACAAAGCCCAGTTATGCTGAGAGCAGTGGGAATCCGCCTGGTCCGGACCTAAACGTTGACACCTAATAAGGTGAGCCACCGGGACTGGGACTATAGCCATGGGACAGCATTTAACAAAAGAAGAGGAAACAATACTGTCTGCATGGAAAGCATTACTTAAGACATAAAGGCGTTAGGACTAGTGAATACGGACTAAGGCGAATACTCATTTGGTTTAAAATGCAAGGATTTGAAGCAACAGCTGCCACAGCGTTTAGCGTATCAGTGCAGCAAGAAGTAGGGTAAAAATTATGGGATGCAATTTCTAAGGGGTCAAAAGATACATCAGATTTAGCTAACACTTGGCGATTACTGAGCAAAACCTTAAAAGAATGGAAAGCGGAGTGCGAGGAAAAGGAAGGGCAGTCAAAGGGTATAAAAGATGAGGACAAATGGCTGAAACAACCCGCTCAAGTTAAAGACCATTCCACTCTGTCCTCTGTAGCAGGGGAAAAAAACCCTGTACAGGGTCTGTCAAACCTCGTTCATGACCATCTCCTCCGCCTCCACCTAGTCAATATCAAACCCCTAATCAGCAGTTACAGATGATGAAACAAGGCTCTAACTTTATAGAACCTACTGCACCCCCTGCAGAGGAAGAGATAGAAACAGAATCCACAGCAAATCCCTCTCAGATCCCTTTGCCTTCCCTGGAGGACAGTAGTGATGAGGAGGAGGAGGGAGGAGTGGCTGCAGGGAAAAAGTCAATTGCAAGTTACAGATTGGAGACCCTGAGTGTGTTAGTAAATTCACCCTCCCGTGGACTTTGCCCCCGGCTACTGTGACTGTTACACCAGGACATCCAAGTTGGTTTTGGGCATAGGTCAGGAAAAAGGCAGCTGGTAGGGAATTGAGATCTAGTTGAAAAATTTGATCTCCCCTGTGAGAGTGGCTCCAACTCGGGGCCGTGTGAATCAATAGCGTATCCTGTGTTCAAAGCTATACCTGGTTCAGGGCAAAATGATGATCATAACCCCTTTTCCTGAAAGGTTGTGCAAGATTTACAAACGAAGTCTGCAAAATTTGCATTAACTCCCCCAAAGTCCAATTGCAACTGATACAAGTAATAAATATAGATTTGTTGTGTCCCTACGATATTACTCATCTCACCCAGATTTTATTTCAACCAGTACACTTCATGGTGTTTCTATCGACTTGGAGACAATTAGCTGGAAGGGCTGTTATAGAGAATATGCAGTTACTACAAGGAGACCCAAGGCAAGGGGCTGGGGTGGATATTCTTACGGGCACAGGCGATATTTTCTCAAATCCGCAAGTACAAGCGCAGTGGCACCCAATGTTGCTGGAGCAGTCCCCGTTTCTTGGAATGATGTAAGCATTAATAAAGACAATGGAATTAGCAGCACCAAACCAAAAAGGTTACCATTAGACAGGGGCCAAAGGAGCAATTCTTACAATTCATGGAAAAAAATTGTGCTGCTTTAGAAAAAACAGTAGACAATGATGAAGCATTATGACAAATATTATGTAAGCAATTGGCAAAAGAAAATGCTAATGAGGACTGTCAAAAAATTATTGAGGCTTTGCCAGGAGAATCGTCTGTTCCTGATATGGTTGCTGCCTGCTCTAAAGTTGGCACTGTGGATCATAAAGTGGCTGCACTAGCTACGGCCATGAAGGCTAAATCAGCTCTCAAGTGCTTTGGATATGGGCAGGAGGGACATGCTAAAGCAAATTGCCCTGCCAAACAAAAAACCTACAATGACAACTTTGCATTTACTGAGCTGATTTTTTAGGTCATTTTATAATTTATTTCTGAAATAACTTCAGTGACCTTTTGCAGTCAGCTTTCCAGTTGATCATCCTGAATACTTTTGCACCATCTGCAGTCTTTGTCACTCTAGTTCACTGACATTTGCAGCCTTTTTGTAGATGTTGAACAGTCAGATCCCGAGGAATCCCACTTCTGTGGTGACTTCTTCCTTTAGAAGAGTATAAAACTATTTCCTAATGTTTGTTTCCCACCTTTAATTTATTTTTAATCTATAAAATGCTAATCATTTTTTATCAACAGGGAAAAAGAATATAAGTACAGAGATAAGAGGATTCAGAACATAATAGTGGTCATGGACACCAATAGCCTGGAAGTCATCAAATGAGTGGGGCCTCATTGCCAGCTTGGAAAGAATGGGCTTTAAAATGTATGCTCACATACTGATGTGGAGCAATATCCAAGTCTGTTAACATCTATCAAGTTTTGTAGTAAAACATTAGAATGTGGAAAATGCAGTACGTGATATA